TGACTAGTTGACCATGAATATGAAATTGAATTGAAATTATTTGTTTAATATGATGATTGGTCTATCTTTTGAGCTTGAAGCATGAATCTTGAGGTAGAATTTGAGAAAAAAATATGGAAAAAAAATTTCAAAAAAAATCCTGAAAATTTGAAAAAAGAAAGAAAAAAGAGGAAATTGTGGAGAGTTTTGAGTGTAATTCATGTGAGTGTGGTGAGATTGTTGTGCAATAATGTTCAATTGTGAATCATAGGGAATGGAATTTTTGTGTTGAAACTTTGTAAGAACTACGCCAAGGATGAAAGAGATTTCAAAGAAGAGAAAGCATGATCACGCTAGCTCTAGCCGTGAACCCGATACAATGGGTGATGAGGAGTTGGAACCACAACAAAATGAAATGCATGAGCAAGACCCAATTGCCGAAAAAAGGAGGTTGAATTTGAATGTCGTGCAAATGGAAAAAGTAGCAAGGTTGAAAATGCTATCGGTGTTAGGAGGGATGTATTTTGATATGTTGGTGTTGGAGTCGTTTGTTTGTAGAGAGGAGGTGGAGAATGTACTTGCACATCATCAATGGGCGCAAGTGTTTGCTTGGAGAGGGCATACCTATGACCCGGCAGTCTATGAATTTGTGGCCACTCTTAATGTGAAAACGAAAAGATACCACCACAAGCCATCCATTTCATTCACCCTTTTTAACAAAGAATACAACATTATCGGTGAATGATTTGGGAGTCCTCTTGGGGCTACACACTGATTTGGGAGTCCTCTTAGGGCTACACACTAGAGAGTAACAAAGGTCCTAGGCATATTTGGGATACCAATCCGATTTCTACACCGGCGACGAGGTTTCAGACTATTGGAGGAAGATTTCGGATGGGACGGTAGCTTATGATTCAACACGAACTCAAAGACCATAGAGAAAAATGAGATGAAGGTCGTGAGATATGCATTGGCAGTGACCTTTACGGGGAGAATTTCTAATATGCACAAGGTGTACCGCTCGGACCTTTTCCACCTTTGGAGCATGGAGAATGACAAAACAATCAACATGGGTGTGCAATGTAGAAGATGGTTGGCTACTCAAAGCCACAATAATACCACCCACATTTTCATCGGTCCTTTGCTTGCCAGGCTATGTCAAGGCCTCGGATTGGATCTTAAATTGAGGAAAGAGCGAAGGATTGCCTCCATGACACCCATCACCATACTCGACCTCATTCGGGCAAAACTAACCCGGGTTGAGGAAGGCGAGGAAGGTCAAGAAGGGGTGCCACCCGCATTGTCGCCACACATGCCCAACATTCCATCTCACTTGCCACAAGTCAATGATTGGGAGAGTATGAGAGTGTTCCAATATCAACTCCACCAAGAGCAAATGGCCATCTTGAGAGCTCAAAATGAAGAAGTTGAAAGGTAAGGTTGAGCTATTGACGATCTCCAAATTCAATTTGCTCAATACTTCCATCCCACATCCTATGGTGACATGCCATGACCCTTCAAGAAAGAAAAGAAAGAAAAACATTGGTGTTTGTTCCATTAGGTTCAAAACGTTAACTTGAATAGTTTTAGTTAACCATTCGAAAAAAACTACTCGAGACATTCTTTGAGCCAACAGTTCGAAACCTTAAAACACTAGTGCTTTATGGTAAAATGTGTCCAAGGCAAAGAGAGTCCTAGGTACATTCCAAGGGAGATTTTTCTCATAAAGCCTAGACATTTTGTGCAAAACAAAAAGTAAAGTTTAGCAAAAAAGGTGGTCTAAAGGTTGGAAAATCTAACACATATAGCCACTTTTTGGTTTATCTACTAGTCACTACTCGCTATGTGATAGACGTTTGAAATGAGTTTCCCTCTAACCGACACATTTTTAAACGCCTATAAATACCTTCATTCAAGACTAAAGAAGATGCTTGTCTAGTTCAAGAGAAAACAATTATTCAAGTATTCTAAGAAAACATTCAAGTGTGACCAGTGAGAGAAATAAAAAGCTCAAAGCTACATCTAGTTTTAGAGACTTCTGTTGTTCAAAAGGAGTACAATATCGAGATTTAAGAAGCCAAGTGTTCACAATTGGAGATTGAAGAAATCTTATTCCCGCCTCTAGACTTGTACCCCAACCCTTCAGGATCAACACTCCGACTTCCTTCCCCTTAACAATAATATTCTTCGTCAAAAGATCCTGAAATAGACAATAACCCAGAAAAAAGAGAGAGACAACAATTCAAAGCCCGTGTGATTTGACTAATAGAAAGAAAATTAAAGGGAAAATTTGGAAGGTATAATATAGATGATAGGGGTAATGATGAGGTTGCAACAACACTACCCCTACACAAAACCGGAACAAACGACCCATCCGTTAGAGTAACCATAGCCCCAGGATTCGAGGGAGAATATGTGGAGAAAACATTAGAATTACTTGACTTATCCTCACTAGCCCATGAGTCAATAACCCATTGTGTAGACGAAGAAGACAGACATACAACAAGATTATCTGTTTGGACAAAGGTTGGGTGGTTTAGGGCATTGGTTTCGGAAATGACATGGTTCTCCACAATTGAAACATACACTTGGTCCTACACGACCTCTTCCAAAACCACCACATCCTCGATGGCGACCACATCCACCTCGATTATTATACCCTTCGTTAGTATACCTCCCTTACAACACAACTGCACTTCCTTCACCACTACTTCATTGTGATACAAAAACACTCTTCTCGGGAAGTTCATTATTGTCAGTACTTACTGTTGCATTCTGTATCTGAGAGAACACTCGGTCCAATGACCCTAACTCTAAGTTTCCCAGCAACTATGACCTAAGAATCTCATATTCCTTTTCAAGCCTGGAAATCTAACTAAAGATAATTAATTGATCACGTTGTGCTTTCATTTTCTACATATCATTTTGTAATATGCATTGCAGTACAAAATGCTTCACTTAAACTTCTGAAATTGTAATAGTAGTATCTTATATCTCGACCTTTTTGATTAGGTCGATAGACATATTGAGACAACTGATACAGTTCCCTCAAATTACTTGACCCACTAAACCATTTAGACACTAACTCCGACACTCCTTTAACTATAGTACAATGTTGCATTGATAAGATTACTTTTCCTATCAATACAATTAATTACCCGTGATAACAAAGCTTTATCGTCTGCTTCCCATTCCTTTTTAGTTGCATTACTTGAAGGGCAATCTTTATCTAAATGGTCACCTTTACCCGTTCCATCTAAATTAATTTTAACCAAGAATTTTCATTCAACAAAAGTAGACCCATCAGCAGTCAATACCATATCAATTAATTTGGACGGCGTAGATACAACAGTAATATTCTTATAACTTCCCTCTGCCATATTCAACCTAGGAAAAAACAATTGCAAACCCTAAGTGCAGAACATCAACAAACCAAAACTCCAAACAAAACATACCTAGGTAGGACCTACTGACAGAGGTGAGTTGACCGACGTAAACTTCGGCCGGAGACGTCGTGGAAAAATGCCACGCACGGCGGCGCGTGGCGTTGGAGCAGAGGTGAAGTGGCGGCGTGTGGTGGCTCTGATGGCGGCCCAATTCAAGCTCCGGCATCGTCCTACTATTCCGAGCACATCTCACGATCTCACTCTCGCCTGCTCTGGTACCATGTTAATGTTTAAAGGGAAGATCTCATGGTAGTGCCTACCTCATTGTGTATTGATGTGTTTATTAAGCTGAGACTATACAGTATATATAGGTATAAGGATGATTTTACAGCCACAAACTAACCCAAAGAATTCTAACCGAAAACTCAAGGGAACGTTATGCTATGAGCACGTGCCCACCTTGTAAGGTGGATACGATTCATAACTATAATTTTTATATTGTAAATTCATAATTTCTATACTGTAGATTCATAATTTCTATACTGTAGATTCATAAAATTTATACTTTAGATTCATAATTTCTAAATCGTAGATTCATAATTTAAATACAGTAGATTCATAATTTCTATACAGTAGATTCATAATTTCTATACTGCAAATTCATAATATCTGTACTGTAAATTCATAATTTCTAAACTGTATAGTTATCAAATTATGAACATATAGTTCTCTGATTTGTGAAAACAGAGTTCAACAATTGAAATCTAAAGTATAAATTTTATGAATCTACAGTATAGAAATTATGAATCTACAATATAGAAATTATGGATATGGAACCGTGCCCACCTTGCAAGGTGGGCACGTGCTCACAGCATAATTTGCCTAGATCAAGTATGTAGTTCTTGTGTGAAACCGTCAATCGTTATATCATGTACCAGGGCGCACAATGCATTGTGCGCCATATACATTCGAAACAGGGGATTTTTTTTTTTTTTTTTTTAAGTTAACGGTAAAAACGGGAAACGGAATTTCTTAAAAAAAAAAAAAAAAAAAAACCAAAATGACGTGGTTTTGGCCAGGGCACACAATACATTGTGTGCCTGGTGCACGATATAATTAATTTGCCGTGAAACCATTGATGCTTAAGTATAATTACGGTTGATTCTTAAGTGTGTTTGTTTATGCAACTTCATTGTTACTTTGTTAGGTGAAATAGACTAGTTTGGAATAACGGCTGTTGTCTTTCAACTGATGCATTAGAGCAGAAAGCATTTCTTGTGAATTGTAATACTCAAGATTCAAGAGGCCGGTAGTACGTCAATCTAAGGCTATATATTCTTTTAACTCCGTATCTTTTAATAAATGATGAGTCCCAAATAAAATCTATGTTGGAGATTCTTGAATCAATGCAGCACTATTAAAACTAGTCATCCTTGGAGAGTCTTAATTAATTATCATAAATAATATAATTAAACAATCTGTCATGATGAAAAACAACGAGAAAAACATTTCTGCAATTTCTAGGCAACTTAAGTTTTATCACTTATACAAAGATCTTGGCATGTTGTGTACTCGAACTTGTATATAAAGCGAACATTGCAGGCCTACTTTCCGCTCATACAGATCGAACTGAATTGAAACAAATAAATTAAAGATGGAGAAGAAGTTGAGATTAGCAAGAGCACTTGTTGTTCTTCTCATTCTTGCCATTTCCACTTGTTCTATAGAGGCAAGACCCGCAGAATGTAAGCCGAGTGGGAAGCTAAAGGGCATTAAACCACCCAAAGGAAAATGTAACAAGAAAAACCATTCAGATTGTTGCAAAGAGGGGAAGTCCTACACCACCTACAAATGCTCTCCTCCTCTTTCAAGCAGCACTAAGGCAGTCCTGACAATAAACAGCTTCGAGAAGGGCGGCGACGGGGGAGGGCCATCTGAGTGTGACAACAACTACCACTCCGATGACACCCCGGTGGTGGCGCTGTCCACGGGGTGGTACAGCGGCGGAGACCGCTGCTTTCGCAACATCACCGTCCACGGGAACGGGCGGAGCGTGATCGCTATGGTGGTGGATGAGTGTGACTCGGCGCAGGGGTGCGATGAAACGCATGACTATCAGCCGCCGTGTCCTAACAACATTGTGGATGCGTCCAAAGCGGTGTGGAAAGCGTTGGGTGTGCCTGAAAACCAATGGGGCTGGCTTGATGTAACCTGGTCCTTGTCCTAGCTAGATTAGATTCATTCATCTCATATGAACCGATCCACTTCCTCCGTTTTCAGCGCTCTTTACCTTTATGTTCTCCTTTCAAATAATGTGCAGCTCCTAAAGCCTCAGGTGCGCATGCCCGCGCACTTTTAATTTCCAAATTTCTCAATTTTAAATAAATCTTCAAACTTCTTATATTGTTATTGTTATATATACTAGTATTTGCACCCGTATGATGCACAGAATGAATTTGTTAAGAATATATGAATTTATATATAATTATTTAAATTAGAACATCAAATATTATATAGTGCAATTAAAGATATGGTTTAGATCGTTTATATATTTTGATGATATCATTTCTTGAGTTTGTGCAAATAATTGCTCAAATTAATAGCTAATGTCTAGATGTACGCATGCGGTGCTATAACTTTAAAGATTTTATTTATCATTGTTTAGTATTTTCATAAATTAGGCAAATGTGCTCGTACTCTAACAGCTCAGTTCTAGAAATGAATTGCTATCCTTATTCATTTGTATGGAAGATATTTTTTTTTTTTTTGTCTAGATATATAACAATTTTTTCATTAAAAAAAAAAAACTTAATATCACCGATTATATTTACACATTATTGAAATATCTTTCTATCTTCCAAAAGGCTGAACCTCAACCCTAAGGGCTTGAAACCTCTTTCTAGACGACATTGGTAGTGGCAACACAATCTTGTTCATCTTCATCTAGAGCTAACACCTTCAATCCAACAGGACAGGTTACTTGGGTGAAAATATATAATGGTAGAATCTCAATTAGTTATCCTTTTATATTTTCAGTCAATTAGTCAATTAGAATATCAAATGCAGTGATATTTTTACATAATTTTCGTTCCATTTTTAATTGATAATGTAGATATTATTATTGAAATATTTTCGTTCTATTTTTAATTTACTTTTACTATTTTTTAAAATATGCAGCATTTACTATTGATAATGTAGAATATTATTATTGAAATATTTCCCTCCAATTTTTAATTTCCATTCCATTTTTAATTAAAATGCAATGATTTGACCATTTCTTTTTTTTATTATTATTTTTTTTATTTTAGTCAATTATGGATCATTTTTTATTTGCAGTCCATTATTAATATTCATTTCCTCTTATAATTTCAGTCAATTAGTAATATTAGATTCATTTTCAGTCAATATTTCTTTTTTATTTTTAGTCAATTAGTCAATTAGAATATAAATGCAATGATATTTTTACCTAATATTTTCGTTTCATTTTTAATTTTCATTGACTATTTATAAATAGTTATGCTGTGAAATCGTGTCCACATTGCAAGGTGGACACAATTCTATTTTCATAATTACTGAACTATATATTAATAATTATAAAACTATATAGTCATAATCTCTGAACTTCATATTCATAATTATTGAACTCTATATTCACAATTACAAAACTCTATGTTTGTTGTAATTCGGCCTATCAACTTGTTAGTTCTCGCGTGATAGTTGTACGGTAACGCATCGATTGTATGTATGAAGAATATTGCAATATGGAATGGAAGAGTAGAGAGAAAAATATAACAAAAGAATGTAGAACTCAAGAACACAAGTTCACTCTTTCATTATGCCTTGAACATGTATATATATACATCCATATAACCCTTCATTTTCTATAACATAAATAATGGAATAAATATAAGGCAAATGAAAGGTCTTGTGATAATGGCCATAATAATAATAATATTTATAACACTCCCCCTTGGCCATTATCAAACTATACTCATGCCTCGTTAAAAACCTTGCTAGAAAAACCCAGTTGAAAAAACCTAGACGAGGAAAAGAGTACACGAAGTATGTTGATCCATGTGTTGCACCGGTTGCCTCATTAAAAACCTTAGCCTAAGAAAACCCAGTGGGAAAAAAACTTAGCCAAGGAAAAGAGTACAAACATAAGCCTTCTGGGCATAATCTTCAAGATTTCAAGAGTCTTCAGGACTATCCACTCAAGTGCACCAACATAGGTTGCCTCATTAAAAACCTTAGCTTAAGAAAACCCTGTGGGAAAAACTTAGCTAAGGGAAAAAGAGTACAACCATATGCTTTCGTAGCATAATATTCAGGATATCAAAAGTCCTCTAGATTGTCCATTCTAGCACAGCTAGGCGTTGTCGCTCCCCCTGAAGATAACAATCTTCTAAGCCCACGCATCCCAATTTTATGAACATATTACTCAAAAGTGGATGTAGGCAGAGACTTAGTGAACATATCTGCAAGATTGTTCAGTGGGGAAAACATTCTCAATAAGAATTTTACAACTCTTCTAGAGTTCATGTGTGTAGAAGGATTTAGATACAACATGTTTTGTAAGGTTCCCCTTAACAAAACTATTACTTGCTTGTGCAACACAATCTTATTTGTCCTCATATGAGACATTGGGGGTAAAAATATAACATAACCAGTTCTGAACTTGGCATCATAGGGATAAAATAAAAGAGCTAATGCCCAAGTTGCCCATCAAAACCACATATTAGTTTCTCACATAAACGTCAAAATCTTTGTACCTCGAAGGTGTTGGAGGATATGTTAAATACCATTCCAATTTTCATTGTAGGGAGAAGCACTAAATCTTGCTAGCAATTTCATCGCAAATTCAATATCAGGCCTGATGCGATTATGGAACTTCTAGTTCAATAATAGTGCTCCAATAGCAATGAAGTAATGGACTCCCGGTCCCTAAATATCCTCATTATAACCTTCGAGTCTAAATGGTCATTTATCTACTTCAAGAGATTATTGGACAACCGTTTATGTGATAAGTAAATAATACTTGTCTATATAAAACATCTTCAAGATATTTTTCAAGTAGGCTAACTGGTGTATAAAACTTCTTCAAGGAGAAGCTCGATCTTTAGGTCGAGACAATACTTGGATTTCCAAGTCTTTTATTTTAAAACTCCATCTTTCGGCATGAGCTAATATCACCAAGCTCTCTATGTGTTTCAATGATATTTAAACCGTCAATATCGACTGAGATGATAAATAAATAACTCCATTAGCAATTCTTTAACGAACACATAATGGTACATATTATTTATACATTCCTTCTTTGGGAGGAAAACACTCAGTCAATAATATTCAACTCATACAAAGACTTTAGTAGTTTAATGATACACGTTGAGATTTTCACTTTCCACATTCCAAAAGTGTTGAATCCATTGGGGATTTACAAATAAATATTAGCGTCTAATGACCAGTAAATTACGGTCATGACGTTCATCAACTGCATATCTAAATTCATAATTCACTGCCAATAATGTTAATTTGCGGAACGTAATGCCATATGTTGTGGGAGAGAATATTTGACCAAAATCAATTCAGGGTCTCTGCGTAAACCCTTAAGCTACCAGTCTCGCTTTATATCATACCACCATATTGTTTGTATTTCTCTTTCGTACAAACACTCATTTGTAACCTACAAGGTTAACATTAAATGGTGTACGTGTTATAAAGAGAATACAGTTTTAGCGAGCTGAGCTGTACATGCCTTAATTGCTTTTTTATACATAAAAAAAAATCAAGGCACTACTGGTGCCTAGCTCTGGATCCAGATTCTCATATACTAAGAGCAATTTATAAGGCAATTGTGTTGTCGACAACTATAACGTTTTTCATAAATTTCTCCCATATATATAAAATAATGGCAATTTCTAATTCAACCAGACTCTAGCCATTTCGCAAAGGTATTTTTATCTGGTCGTTTCGCATCCCAGTATTATGATTTTGGGTGCACCTATAATTTTACTGGGGTTTTTCGCCTTCCAGACGAATGTCTTCTGGACGAATATCTGCAGGACATACTTCTTTAAGCGATTTCAAGAATAACACCATTTTCTACTAGATTTAGCTTTCCGCGGATTATACCAACATGTCTCCACGCTTCTGGCGTCAAGGAGCATTGGTAGATATATATGGTCCAAGTTGGGGAAAATATATAGGACCTAGTCACTCATGAGTATATATATTGACAGATTAATTATCTACTGAACTTCTAGTTCAGTTTACTTCTTCTGAACTTCTAGTTCAGTCTACCTAGTACGTGGATTTAAATATTGAAGATCAATCATTCATAGAATTTCTCGGCATTCTATAAAATTTGAGATCTTATCTCCCCCTAATGCCGTGAAATGATCTTCATAAAGTGTGCAGTCAGCATACCTAATTATATATTGATCCCTTATCATGGGCTCTAAGAATTTAAATAACAGACGGAGGTTTATAATCAACATATACATGCCCACAAAGGTACGCTATGGTGGTGATATAGGAAAAAGACTGCACACTGTGAATAAAACGCAGATGGGAAATGTTTGGTTTTATACCACGTACTAGGTTCTAGGGGAAATAATTATGATATGCAGTAGGTCAGATTGTGATAACCATAATAGCATATAAAACTGATGTCCCCAACAAGAAAAAAATATATAATCAGATATGAAAGCATACATATCAATTGATATTACAAAGGTACACAACAATCATAGGGAAGCTGTGAAGCTTGTCAAATAAAATATATCTTCAAGATCTCCCAAAAATCCTTATCCTCAATTTTACATTAGTTCACTCACTGGTTTGGGAATTGCTTCGTGCAAATTCACATGATATAATTCATTCCCTCATTTGCTTCGGGCAAACTAATATGAAATAATTTAGTCCTTCGTTTGCTTCAGGCAAATTGATATGATATGATCCATTCTATCTTCCAAACCAATAACATCTAAATCAATCATATCATGTATGACATAAGTCAAAGATCATTCTTATAAAGGAGTATACCACTCCTTAAACAACACAGAATTGCACTAAGCCATAGTCGGAGAGGGATTTGTCATGTTGACATCTTAAATTTAGTCAAAAGATGATTATCATAATTTGTTGATAATAGCAATCCTTCAGGGATTGATATAAGATTTATGGAACAAATAATAATTCAATTTTGAATTAGCAGCCAGTCAATTGCATACGAGAGTTATGTTGCATGCATGAGGAAAATTTTCATAAATAAATAAGCAAGCAAACTAAGAGAATTAAATCTGAGAAGTAAACTTCCACTGGAAAATAAAGTTCCAGAAAGTAAAATTTCAAGAAGTAAATCGAGAAGCAAGATTACAGAGGTAAGTTAAGAGATGTAAGCTTAGAGAGG